GACAGCAGACTCATGGTCGTCGAGGTCAAGACTCCCTGCTGATGATGCTCTCCTCTTGTCCTTCTTCTTCCTCCACGAAGAAGAAGAAGAAGAAGTAAACGAAGACAAAAAGCTCGGCCTTGCATTAAACGAAGGTGTGAAGGCCGCAGAGGAGGAAGTGGTGGGGGGGGAGGGAAGAAGGCGTGGCTGAGGATACCTTGAAGCTCTCCTTGGGGACCCTTTTCGATCATCAGGAGATATACAACAGAACGTATTTCCCATATTCAAAATTCCTTTCAAATTACTTCTCTGATATCTATATATATATATATATATATATATATATGTCTGCTGTTCTTATTAATCCAAAGAGAAGACAGAAGAGGAAGGGAAGTGTTGGAACTGAGTTCGTGGCGTTGTTTTGTTTCCTTTTTAAGTTCGCTTTGCATGTGGTGCAGAAATGAGAGAAGGGGGAAGAAAACAATTTATGAATGAGACAAATTGGCCGGAGTTATATTATTGGCTTAATTTTTCCATTTTTGGATTCGTCAATAAATCGAACTTATTAATATGTCAAAAAAAATTAAATTAAATTAAAAAATTCAAATATTGAATTTATTTAAAAAATTGAATTTATTTCGTGAAAAAGTTTGTTGTCTTTATCAAAATAGTAAATTAAAATAACGATTATATTTTTTAATCTTCGAAAATCATCTAATTTGGAATTAGAATTAATTATAATTAGTTGTGTATTAAATGCTTGCTAATTTTAAAATTGTTAAACTTAATAGAACAAATTAACTAAGAAATTAACAATTGAAGCCATGTTAGTACAATTGTTGGTCGGTTTAAGTAGGCATAAGAAAAACATGTTTGAAAAAGGCGTTATTTTTATGGTAAAAACTAAGTAATAAGTGATATGGACAGTTTTAATGTTGGATCCTGCTAGGGCAAGCCTAATTACTAAGTGCTTTCCATGAAATTCCCAATTTGAATGGGAAATAAAACTAAATCAGAAGTTGGTGGACAATGTTAATATATATATATATATAGTAATTCATATTATTTCGTATAAATTCAAATTAGTATAAATTTGAATTAATTTAGTAGACATACGAGCATTTGATGTTGGATAATTTATTTCTATCTTTAAAGAGTTAAACCTGAATCTTTTTCTCACAATACAAAATAAAAAAATTGTAGAGATTGATTTTGTCCAAGCTAATAATATAAGAGTTTTATCTTTTTTTCGACTCACCGATTTGGCAATATTGTTGCATTGAGAAGAACAAAAAATTAAGACAATTAACACATCGTCGAGATAATTACTCTCTCTTTATAAAAATACTTAAATAACTTTGAAAATTCAGGATTTTATTCTTCAGCCCACTATTTATTTTTTTTCTTTTTCTTTTTATTATTTATTATTATTTTCTTCTTTAATATTTTATATTTTATTTATTTATTTAAAAAATAAAAAATGATTAATAAAAGTATTAACTAAACTAAACATTATGTGGTTGAGTACCCTCAAAGAACAGCAAAACGCTTAACAGTAGGGCTTTGTATTTAAGGATTTTTCAAAAGATTTTGAGTATAATTTTCTTTAAAGAAGCTGC